GCATGTGCGGGGACCGCCCGCGCGCGCGCCCATTCCCCCACCCGCCGTGAGGGGCGGGGTCTCGGTTGCCGTCGTAATAAGCCCCGCCCCATCGGGAGGCGGGAGTTGCCATGGCAAGGCCCTCCTTCCCCCCCCCAGCCTTAGCGGCTTTCCCTGGGAATCCCCCGGAATTCCCGACCCACTACTTCCAAGGGCCACGGACCTTAGAGGCCGAACCGGCGCTCTCGGGACACGCACCCAGGGTTCCCACACGGATTTACCCCGTCACAGAGGCCCGCGGCGCAGCGATGGGCTGGGCAGGCCGGGGGCCGAGTGCGGAGCAGATCCAGATGCTGTGACCAGAGAGACACCCAAGAATTGCCCTGATCACCAGCACAGGCAGGGGGTGTCCCTGTCACAACCGGCTGTCCCCGAACCGACAGCGTGTCCTGGGGGCCACAAGGGCCCGTGGGACCCTGGGGGACACCGGGAAGAGCACTGCCAGCAGGTCAGAGAGTGTCCCTCCGTCCAGCCCTGTGAGGTACATCTGCAGTGCTGTGTCCACTCTCGGCGCTTCAGGAAAGGAGACGTGTGGAACTGCTGGAGCAGGTCTGGGGAAGCTGTGGAGCTGAGGAAGCATCTCCGTGCCCAGGAAAGGCTGAGGGAGCTGGGGCTGCTCAGCCTCGAGAGGAGCCCCAGCTGAGAGGGGCCCTCAGCCCTGGGTGTCCCTGTGAGCAGGGAGGGCTCCGAGCAGGGACCAGGAGGAACGGGCAGGAACTGACCCCAGCAAGTTCCACCTGGACATGAGGAAGAACTTTCTGGGTAGTGCCTGAGCCCTGGACAGATCCCAGAGAGGGTGTGGAGTCCCCCTCACTGGAGATACTCCAGAGCTGTCTGGACACACTGTGTGCCATGAGCTCTGAGCTGACCCTGCTGGAGCAGACGGACCCACTGTGGTTCCCTTCCAGCCTGACCCATTCTGGGACTCTGTAAGACAGGACCTGATGTGGTCAAGGAACAGCTCACCTGCACCACTCCAGGGAGCCTTGTCAGGGCACCCCTGCTATCATTGTCACAAAGCTAGAAGCAGAAACCCTTGAATTTGTCCCCACCTACCATACCAGGTGTTTCTGATCCCCAGGCCACCTGAAGAAATGTCAGGAATGTTTTATTCCTTTCCAGTTTCGGCCCAGCAGTAATGTGGCTGCTTTGCTGCTGAACACCTTGCCAGTAACACTTCTCAACTCAGTGCAAACCACAGAAAGCCGAGATTTCCCTAGAATCCTAATAATTTTATACCTCACTGCCATGGAAACAGGTACATCTGTTCCCTCTCATTCCCTCCCTGGCTCCCATCCCCACACCAGCTCTTGTGCTCAGGGAAGCAACCAAGCCTGTAAAGTATCTGAGGTTTTGGCACTTGTTTTGATTCTCCTGGCAGCTGGATGAGCTGAACTTACTTGTTTACAAACATGACAAATGAATCACCAGGGCTGAAGGCAGATGAGCAGCAGTGAACTGTTACACCAGCCCAGACATCCCAAATACAGACTCCTGCTTCACCAACACCAGCAAAACAAAGCAGATTTCACCTGCTTCAAAGCTCACAGACCACAGGGTCACAAACAAGCTGTTGGTACAACCAAAATCCACTCAGCAGTGCCAAAATCCACCCTCTAACAATGAAGATCTAAAAGAATAAGCCAAATTATGCCTGGTGAGGATTATTGTGCCATGGATATGGTGAGGAATTGGATCATCTGGGGGTCCTGAGGGCATGCAGCAGCCCACCTCAGGGCTGCTGCTATAGGTGACAGGTTTTGTACATTTTGCAGTTAAGTTTGGGTTTTATCCAACGATCAATTTTTAGTCCTGTTTTATTTTTGCATTCTGCTTTGAAAATGCGGTTTGTTTTTTACAGGCTAACCCTGACTGGAAAGGCTGAGTGTCACCAGCATGGAAACAGTAGCTCTGCCTTAAAAACAACCTTTTAATTGAGTGTTTTTGACATCATGGTAAAACAGAAAATAATCCCAACTGCAGTAAAGACCCATATTGAAGGAAGACTTCCAGAACAATGGCTGAGGCAGCAGGAGAAAAATCAAACTGATTTACCACTGTTGTTAACTTTCTCAAAAAACATCTCTGAACAGAACATTTATTTATTTATGAGAAGCCCACCAATGATAAAGTTGTGCAGGCTTTGGGGAAAAAAAACAACCTGACAATCCATATTGTTGGCTCTGTGCTGGTTCTGCTTTCCATAAAATTTGGTTTTTTGAAACTTTAACCATCAGAAGATGCTGCTGAAGAAACAAGTCTGTTAGGAATGTCCCAGAACAGTCATCAATCGGGTTCAAAAAAAGGACAAAACTCAAACATTTGCTGACTTTGATGACTAGCACACACCCTTCAGCACTGCAGCTGGCACTTGGCTCAATTTCAAACACAGACAGTGGAAAAGTAGCTCCCAAGAAGCAAAGAAAAGCCAAAATAAGGCTCAATAAAAAAAACAGATAAAACAATTCACAAGAAAACTTCCTCTGTATAGTAGGATCTAGTTGCCTCTTCCCCAGCCCAAACACCTCCACATCTAAAATACTATTTTTTTTTTAAAGTTATTTTAGTTTTAAACCCAACAGGAACAGTATTTAGTAGTGCCTCTAAAAATGGAGGGTAACAGTTACAGCCAGGCAGGGCAGATATGTGAATCTCTAATTACAGTTATGTCATTACTGACAACTCCAATTGTCAGTTGCTTCTTTCTCTTTTAACTTTCTCCATCATATCTGGCTTCTGGACCATTGTTTTAATCACATAAACCAGTGTGAGTATGAAAATTAAACAGCATTAAATACAGTAACCCTATTGTACAAGAATAAAGTTGCAGAACATTAACAATGAGAAAACAAAAGTATCTTGTTCTTAACAGCAGGGAAAATGGGATCTGCAGGAGGGATCTCTGTGAATAGAGGTGAATGGGAGCCCACAGCCTGGGCATCCATAGAAGATCCTTGGCTTTGGCACTGGAGAATGACTTGTTTCTCTTTTCTTTGTCCAAGGGAGGGGTTAGCATATGAGAGGGAAAGAGTGGCTGTCTGGTTACACTCGTGTTAATGGGTGGGCCAACAATGCAATTCCAGAAACAAATTCCAACAATGTGCTTCAATTTACAGAACAGTGACTGTGCTGAGGGAAACTTCAACCTTTCAGCTGACAGCTAGCTGGGAATACAGACTCATTTTTCACTTGTTTCCTCCATGGAATGTGCATCCATTAAAGGCTTTGAATTCTCATTTCCAGATCAGACCATCAGTTATCCTTGTTTTCCAACACTACCAGTATTCACACTCCAAACCATGTAAATGCAAGCTTAGAAAATAAGAAATGCTCCAATTCCTGCAAGAAGTGCTTCAAGTGCTAGAAAATAATATTCAAGAAAAGAAAATGAAAAAATGTTACATTCTGGAGATGTATGTTACTAAAATTTCTCAGAACTCAGGGCACCGCTGTCTAAAGCGGCTCCTCCCCAAAGCAACCATCAAAACTGCTTAGGGAAGCTTTGCCTAGCACAGGAGAACATCACCACAGTTCCCATTCCCACTCCACCATGTGTCCATGGCTCTGATCTACTCTGCAACAGGGCTTTTAAACATCTGCAGGATTGTCTTTTGCTTGGTCTTAGGCAGTGAACAGATATCATTTGTGTCACTGGTATTAACCACACAATTCAAAACCTTTCCTTCCTTGATGCTGGGGGATTTCACCCGGACCCTGGCAGGAGACTGCCAGTTTTCATTGCAGGAACATTTCCGAGTCTTGTGGTGACTGGCTTCAGCCTGTGTTTTTGATCCCTTTGAGTCTTTTGCCACCTTGGGACTTCCCTTCCTGGCAGAAGAGTCTTTCAGAGATCGAGGTGGCTTGGTGCGCAGCAGGTACTCATCTGGAGAGCCCTTCTGTCGGTTAAGTGTCCTTTCCTCCTTGTTGAACTCCTTTTGCAGCTGCAGAGCCAGAAGCCTGTCTTGCTCCTCCTGCTTGCGCCTTTCATAGAACTCCTGCTCAAAGGCTCTTTGTGTCTGCAAGTTAAAGTCATTCATCTGATCTCCTTGGTCTTCTACACTTTCTGAAAGGGTTCTTCTCCTCTTATCAAGCATGCCCAAATCAATGATGGCATTAGCTGGAGCCTCCAGTAATTTCCTTTTGGGAGTCTCCTTAGAGTTCTGTGGCCTCTCTAGTGTGTCTTCACCTGGGTGTCCAGCCTCCTTCCCCAGATCATGCAACGCAGTCTGGCTATCAGACATCACACAACTCATTCCTAACTGACCAGAGGTACAAGTTTCATCAGACTTTTCAAGGTCTACCCTCTGGACATGTGTTAAGTTGTCACTGTCTGACTCAGTTCCATCATCATCTCCTTTGGATCTAAAAAGAACTGTCCTAGACCCCTCCCCTTCTGTGGTTCCATGAAGTGTATCTGGAACTCCATCTTCTAAACCATTTGGTCCTGGTGTTTTTTCCTGCTTGACAGTGTCAGTTTCACCTGAAGCTGAGGCACTGAAATAGTTCATACATGATTCCAAAAATGAATCCTTAGCACCAGAGTCTTTATTTACATTGGTCAGCTGTGGAGACAGGGTTGGCATTTCCTCTTGCTCATCCTGCAGAGCAGAACTACTGCCTTCATTGCTGTTGGTCTCCTGAAGAAAAGGGAAACACCACTAATGAAGTAAATTTATCAAAAGCCTATGAGTGTGAATAAATACCAAACTCACTTCCCATGGCTGCATTGCCCCTGAATGCAATGGGATAGCAACTCAGATACTTCTCTTTTTAAAAAATACCTGTTCAACAATAATGAAAATATTTAAAGTAACTGCAGAAGCCCAGCTAAAGGATTGAAACCACAACTGCAGCATTTTCCTCTCATCAGTAACTCAGACGAAATGTGCAAGCCTGCTCATCTTCTTTGGAGACCTTACAGGAATGATCAGCCAGCCAGCCATGGAATGATGTAAATCAGGGTGAACCCTCTTCCAGTGGACTCCAGAGCTAGGAGTCATGAATACTGAAGGTTGCTTAAAAAGGGCAATATAACCTGCCCAGTGCTGATGTGCAAGGGGAATAGAAGACTGGAATCCTATAGGCAAGAGGAAAATATCCCACAGTTACACACTCTGAGATTTATAACAAAATGGTTCCAGTTACCGCAGAGTTAGAGTTGCTTTTGCCTCCTCCTGTGGTACTGGAGAACGATGCTGATCCCAGCACACCGTAATTCTTTGGAGACAGATACCTTAAAAGGAAAAAAAAGGGATACTCCTTTAAACATTTTGTCCCTTGAATTGTCAGTCCTTTGCATTATTCAAGATCTTCAGGTTCATTCTGACAAACAAAACATAACAAGAAGGCAAGTGTTTCCCTTCTCCTCCTATGAGGAAATGTTTTAAACTTCAACACTTCACATTTATCCCCAGTTATCTCGGGAAGCTGGCCCTCAGCATTCCAAAGAAGCAAACAGGGCAGAGAGACACTGAAACAGGCCAATAATTAAAGAAACACTTGGCTGAATTCCTTACTTCTGAATGTCTCCAGAGTTTCTTGGTTTGCTGCCCAGGTTCAGTGGGGATGTCTGAAGGGAGAGGCTGCGTGCTGGTAATGGGCTGCCAGGCACGTGTCCCACAGGATCCTCATTCTTCCAGACAAGTAAAAATAACATTAGGTAAAACACAACACAACACAACCTGCAGAAATCTCAGGGAACTGCTTTGGTTTTGCTGCAGAATTAGTTACTTTTGTCCAAAGAATTCTAGAACTGTGAGTAATGGACAGTTACAGAGAAAGAAATATTATCAGTTCCGTACACCTTCCAGGATCTAGCACTGAGGGACAGGAGGCTTTGCTCAAATAACTACACAGGTTTCATCATTGGGTAGCAAAAATTCAACTAAGCAAAACAAATTAATAAAAAAACCCTCCAAAATGTATGGTACATTTTCACTATACATTCCTTTCTTCCAGTACAGGTTACAGATACTAATTTCTTCCAGTGAAAGGTTTTTAAATCATGAGGAAAATGAAGCCTAAAGCAGAAAATCAATGTTTTAAAATGTTTCACAATGGAAACATGCAGCACACATGCTGGATTTCAAGTGTGTATTACGCAGGCTTCACCCTCCCCCTGGCTTTTCAAAAATTGATGTTCAATCAAGGCTTTAAAGTACTGGAGGATGACAACAGCTTTCAACTACAACTAACATAAATTTAAACTATTCCAAATTTTAACATTTGCTCTGAGAAGTCCAAGTTGCTTGTACTATAGTGCATATTTTCTGCTGTCCCCCATGATCCTAACTCACCAGACTGTTACTGAGCTGCCAGGCCAGCTCTTCATCTTGCTTCAGCTGCTTCTCCATCTCCTTCCATCTCTCTTCTGCCAACCTATGCTCCTCCTCCTCCTCCTCCGCCAGCAGCCGCTGGATGTATTCCTCACTCGCTTTGTTCTCCTCCTGTTCGTGCGCTCGCCTTTCTGCCTCCACCTAAACCAGATGTTTGAAAAAAATCCACCTGGTTACTACTTGCAGGGCCACACTTTACACCAGAACCTCTGAGATGACACTACTTAAACTTCTCACCAAATACAGCAGTATTTCATTGCACGAGTCTCAAAGATGTAAGAGTCACATGATACTGTGTGTAGAGCCTTGGGTTTAACCACAGCAACAAACCTTTTGGTAACAAACCATTAACCTTGCTCACCTGCAAGGTTAAACTCCACTCCTCACCTTTTCAAAGTGTTAGCAACAAAAACTCAGATCTCCAAATACATGGATCTACAGAGAAACTGGGATTAGAATTCTTTCTAAGGCTGAATGGCAGCTATCCCACAGCATTTGCTCAACCTGCTTTTATCATTATATCTCCAAAAGACAGCGTATCTCTCTTCTAGAAGAGTGCTGCTCTCTTGAAACATGCAATAACCCAAAGCAGCAAAGCAGGAATTTTAAATCTGCCTTCCTTGCAGCAGACATGCTGAGAGATCAGTTACCAGCAATGAAGAGAGCAAAGTATTTCAAGAATAAAGCTTTCTTTGGAAATTCCCCTCCAGTCCTCTGCTTCACCTGCTCCTGTAGCCACCAGCAAGGGGCTCTCAGGGAAAGGTGCATTCCCATGTATTTTTTGACTCTAAATCTTAATACTACTGTGTCTGAATTGGAAGAAGGATCCTTAAATAGGCCAAAGTTGAGAATTCTTTAAAATCTTTACTGATTTTTAAATGAGCACAGGTAACAGAGCAAACAAAGAAGAAAGAAAATGCTGTATGTTCATTATTCAATACTTCAGTTACTGAAGGTTATCTAATTGCCGTCTCTCACTTGGAGGGAAATCAAGAAGACAAATATAAAACCAAAGCCCAAACAGTTCCAAATTTCTACATTTGTTACTTTTATGTACATTGACTGAGAGATGAGATAGGAAGTATAGATCAAGAAAACTTGAAAATGTCACCTCATGTCAAATACAAAGAAATTTCTACTATCAATTTAATTAATGATTCAGGAGTGACCCATATGTTCTTGCAGCTGCAGTGCCCTTTTAAGTATCTTTATTATTAAATAAAATTACAGCTGTTTGTGGGAACAATTCAAATAATTGGATATGAAGCATTAATGCTTTTTAAACATATTTTTAGATTTACCTTACTAATCTCTGCTTCGTATTCCTGCCTCAGCTCCCCAGGCTTGCTCAGCTGGTGCTGCGGTTTGGGGACACAGACTAATCAAGACGAAGGAGAGGAAAAAAAACCAAGTCAACAAACACAAAGTCATGACAGTCAACAACAAAGGATTTTAACAATAACAAAGGATTTAAACTCCATACCCTGTCATAGAATGATTTGACTTAAGTGCTGTGATTTAAAAAGGGAAGTAACAAAGCAAAAAATACCAAGGAACAAAGTTTACACAGTAGAAAAGTGCAGTGTGACAGAGTGGCATGAACAGGAGGTGCTTCCCAAGCACTGCACATAAAGCAAATACAATGGAGCAGGTTGCCCAGAGAAGCTGTGGCTGTACCATCCCTGGAACTGTCCAA